GTACCGCTTACCTTGTTTTTAGCAGGGTAGAACGATGTGGGCTCGGGGCCGATGTGACCAAGCGCTGGTCTAGCGTGATTTCACCTCACACCCATGATCTCACAGTGTGCCGGCAAGCGGCAGTCGCCGAGCAGTGTCGCTAACACAAGCCGCAGCACAAGTGACTGAGGGCCAGTGAGGGCGAGCCCATCGCTGTCATAGCTGTGGCAGCCGCACAGTAGGCTGTCTCAACTGTGCAGAACGGGAAGACGGAGGAGGAGGGGGGAGGAGGAGGAGGAGGAGGAGGAGTGTATAGGACGCCCTCCACCGAGCCGGCGGAGGGTGGGGCGCGGGAGGGGCTCGACCTTCATCTCGTCGAGCGCCTGCGCCTGCTCGCCTCCCCGCAGCTGGTCAAAGCGCAGCCCCATCCTCTGCGTCGCCGTCATCTGACCAGCGGTGGAGGTGGCAGAGGGCGGAAGTCAACGGCGCCGTGGCGGTGAGAAGCTGCGGGCGAGAGAGGGAGCGGCCAGGGTAGCGGCGGTGAGGCTCCGCCTTGTCTTCGGCAGCCAGGCCTTCCTCGTACTGCGCGCGCAGCGCTCCGAGGTCAAAGGTGGGCGCCGCAGCGAGCCCCTCGTAAAACTCGCGCAGCGACTCAGATCGACGCTCCTTGCGCACGTCGCGCATCGCCTCAGACGTCGCCTCTGTCCAGCTCACGCCGCGCTCACGCGCCTCGGCCATCTTTGCGGCGGCGCGTGTGCGCGAGGCTTCGCCGAGGCCGACGGCCGCACTTGCGCGCTCAAGGATGCCGCCACCGCCCGCGTCGCTGCCGCTCGCCGAGCTCAGGCGGCGGAGCGCGGAAACGGCGGGCAGCCGCTGCATCGGGAGCTGCGCGAACACGCCTCGCATTGGGCGATCCGAACAGCGGTGGAGGGAAACGAACGTACAGTCGAAAGTGGAACAGTGGCTTGGTGGAGCAGTCCCGAGATAAGCGCGGTTCGGAGAGGGCGCGCCGCTCCGGAGAAGAGGCGCATCAAAAGAATTTGGGCTGCCAGCGCTATGAGTAGCCCCTGGGTGGCGCCCACCCCCATACCCTCAGGCACTTGCCTGCGCCCTGGCCGCGCACGCCGCGCACGCGCGCGCACGCCCGCGCACGCCGCCGCGCACGCGCACGCCCGCGCACGCCCGCGCACGTGCGCGCACGCGGCACTACGCGGCACCACGCAGCACTACGCGCCCGCCCGCGCACGTGCGCGCACGCCCGCGCACGTGCGCGCACGCCCGCGCGCACGCCGCACTACGCGGCACTGCCCAGGTTCCCTCACGCTCAGATTCCCTCACGCTCAGATTCCCTCACGCTCAGATTCCGTGCAAGGGGGTGCCGAGGTATGCCGCAGGCCGGGATGGAGTGAGATCTTGCGGGGCAGGGCGTGGGCTAGCGCGTGAGGGCGCAGGCAAGTGCCCGAGGGTATGGGGGTGGGCGCCACCCTGGGGCTACCCGTAGCATTGTCGGCTCAGTGATGGGTATCCCCACACAGCCACTGTCCCCCCCTAGCGATGTCCAGCCGGCGAGGCCATCCACATCTCCGCCGATTAAAATATCTGTTTGGGGTGGAGGCCATCGAGTTCATGGGCAGCCTAGAGCAAGACTCCGCGGCCAGGCTCCTGGAGGAGGCGGGGAGCGGGCCCGACCTCCCAGGGGTGAGTACGACCCAATACTGCCGTCCGGGAAGTCGGGCACGGGATCGCCGTCGGTGATGGCGACAGAATCGGACAGAGAAGACGAGACGGTGGCGGGGCCGCGGCTGAAAAAGGCTAGGTCGGGCCCCGCCGCGCCCGTCGGATGACCATCGGAAAGCGAACAAGAGGAAGAGCCCAGAGGAGAGGGGAGCCTCCTCCGGAGTGGGGATGGGGACCCCTGGGTGCGTCATCATCCCGGTCTCGCTCTTCCTCACGCTCGCGGGGTACTGAGGCACCGAGGCGCGAGGGCCCGGCGACTCGCTAAGGGCGAGCAACACGGTGGGGATGCGGCCGACGCCCTCCGCCAGACTGTGTGAGATGATTGTCCACGCGCGGCCTGGCGCGTTGAGAGGGGTGGTGCTGGGGTGCCAGCCCTCAAACTGCGCTCAACACCGCCGCGTGGATTTTCTGTCTATTGGTTCCCAGTTGTGTCTCCGACCCGTGCCCGAAGCGGCGCCTCAGGCTTCCCACGGGCCAAGGTGAAGGCCGAAGTGACGAGCGGCGCGGTTAGCACGGCCGGGGGAGCATGCTCTCGTCAACGCGCGCTGACCGCTCTAATTGCCGTCAGCTGCCGGCGGGCGGTTTTTATGTTGCATGTTGGCGCTTGGGGATGTTGCTTGTTGGTTGTTGGTCGGTTGCAAGAGTATAAGCATGCGTGAGTGTGAATACTGGGGGCAAGGGGGGCGGGGGCGGCGGTTCCATGGCACCGCGCTAAAAAAAAGAACAACAACGCGGCCGCGCAAAAAAGCAAAAAGGCGGGCGCGCAGACGCCAACGACTCACCGTCTCCGCACGACGGACCCCGCCCGCGATACGCCCCGACTCTTCCTGGGCTCAGTTCTGCGCCTCCATTGCGTCGCGGAGCGCCTCCACCGTTGCCAGGACCGGCCCGACGGCGGCGCGCACCTTGCGCGCAATCTCTTCGAGGTGGTTGTTGTTGAGGCTCTCCCAATTGGCGTCGATGAAACGTTTCGCCGCGAGGTACTCGTTGTCGCCGCCGCCCACTCCCGCGCGCAGCTCAAGGAGTTTGCCATCGCCCAAGTCGACGTCAATGGAGAGGGCGGGCTCGGAGCCATCGGGGAGCGTCTGCGCCCAAGCGAAGGAAGTGGAGGGGATCGGCATCTGCCCGACGCGCGACCACCTGCGGAGGCGCACGCGGGCGGCGGAGGCGGCGGTGGCGGGGAGGGCGGCGGCGGTAGCGGGCGGTGGCGGAGACTGGCGGGAGGCGCCCCACCGCTTCGAAGCAGACTGCCAGCAGAGCAGCACCACCGCCTGGCCGTCCCTCGCCTTGGCCAGTTTCGGCTGCATGTCCGCGCCTCCTGGCGGGGCCCCGCCCGCGCAAAGGGCGTCGACCAGAGGCAGCGTGGCGAAGCGTGGCACGCTCGTCACCGCCTCGGACGGGCTCGGCTCCCCCGCCGCCTCCTCGCCTGCCACACCGCCTGGGCAGGGGAGCGAACCCTCTTCAGACGCGAGTGGTGGGGCAAAGCTGGGGGCACCTCCTCCCCCGGGTTGGGCAGGGAGCCACTCGCCATCCAACGTGCAAGCCCTGCGTGTGTGTGTGTGTGTGTGTGTGTGTGTGTGTGCGTGGTGTGTGTGTGTGTGTGTGTGTGTGTGTGTGTGTGTGTGTGTGTGTGTGTGTGTGTGTGTGTGTGTGTGCGTGTGTGTGTGTGTGTGTGTGTGTGTGTGTGTGTGTGTGTGTGTGAGCGCGTCCGTGCGTGTGCGTGTGTGCGCGCGCGCGTGTGATGCGTGTGCCTCCGCCCCTCGCCGCCGCCAGGGCGGCCCAGATGCCGTCGGCGCGGCCCAGCACCGCAGCGACGAGCCCCACCTCCGCCGCGGGCAGAGCGCAGACGAACGCCTCGGGCGCCTCTGCAGGCTCGGGAGCAAACCCCGCGGCGAACAGAAGCGCCGCGCCGCCGCTCGCGCCGAGTAGGCGCGAGGCGAGCGCTTTGTTCGCCGCACCGATTCGCCGCTTTCGCTCATTTGCGGCGTCGGACGCAAGATTTGTGACATACGTCGCCGCGAGGCGCAGCGCGTCCTGCGCGGCCTGTGGCGCGTTCGAGTCGCCGACGGCAACGATCGCATCCTTCAGCGCCACGACGCGAGCCACAGCCTCGCCCACTGCTTCTGCGAGCGCCGCCGTCGAGGACGAGGCCGCCAAGCTGAAGGTGGTCGCCTGCTCCGGATCCTCAACGTCGGCGCGAAAGCCTAGCGCGTGCAGCGCTGCTGCGCCACCGTCCAAGCCGAGGATCTTGCTCCGCAGCGCCTTGTTGTCAGCCCGCAGCACACCCTTCGACTTGTCAGCCGCAGCATTCTTGAGCAAAAGAGCCGCGGTGCGCAGGGCTCCGAGAGCTGGATCGATGCCCTCGTTGCGCTCGACGAGGGCAGCGAGCGCGGCAAGCTCGGCCTCGCACATGTACATGCTGGCGTCTTCCCCGGCGAGTAGAGGCACACACGTGGGGGAGATGGTACCCCTTTTTGGGCGGGGCCTCTACTCGCCAGGGCGTCTTCAAAGCCGAGTAAAAAGTCAAAAAGAAAAACTTCGGACCGCGCTCGCTGGCTCTATTTCCTGATCTCTCCTCTGGCGTACTCGCCGCCCGAACCCGCCGACGTCGACGCCCAGTGGCGCTCATGGCAGCTCCAGCACCGCAAAAACTATGCGTCCGAGGCCGACATCGCAGCTCGGCGCCTCACATGTACATGCTGGCGAGTAGAGGGAGGCACACGCACGCTCTTTCGAGGTCTTGTTGGTGGACTCAGGAACGAAGTTGGAACGATGGCAAGCCGGCTCCTCGCTGTTCACAGCCTTGTTATTGAGAAGGAAATACCTCCTATGGCGCTGTGCGCTGGCCTGTGAGAGGTTGAGGTGCGAGCCCTGGAGGCCCTGGGGATGGGGTTCACAGCCTTGTTATTGAGAAGAAAATACGTACTTTGGCGCTGTGCGCTGGTCTGTGATTCACACCGAACGAAACGCCTTTGGCCAGGAGCCTTCGCCAGGTCGTGTGAAGAGCACTGATGCCGCAGTGAGTGAGTGGTCCCGGCCGGGCCCTGCGGGGAACTAAGTCGGCGCAAGTTAGTCTGTGAGCTGGACGAGGGCTAGTGGTGCGCCGTGGCGGATCAAGTGGTGAAGTGCTCCCCCGGGAGTCGTGGTCGGAGAGAGAGATTTTTAGAAGCCAACAAGAAATGTGTGACAGAAATTATTTGGGCTCGGCAGCTTGTCGACTACCGCGTACCGGCCGGAGCCGGAGTCGGAACCGTAGCCGAGATGGTCGGAGGCCGGGACACTACGCGCACTAACTTAGTGTGCGGAACGAAGTGAGTGCCTCCGGCCGGCCGGGGGGGAGTGGTCCAGCGGGCCGCTCGCAGTGCCCTTCGCCGGCGGACGGAGAGGTGGGCTCGGCTACCACGCGCACTAAGTTAGTGCGCGTAGTGAGTGGGCCGCCGGCGAGCGGGCTAGTGCGTAGTGGGTGAGTGCCTCCTGCCACCCCGCGCACTAAGATAAGTGCGCGTAGTGAGTGGGCCGCCCGGCGAGCGGGCTAGTGGGTGAGTGCCTCCTGCCACCCCGCGCACTAAGATAGTGCGCGTAGTGGGTGGGCCGCCTTCTAGTGGTCGGCGAGGCCGTGGCCAGTGCCCCGGCCCTGCGGCGCCGCCTAGTGAGTGAGTACTCGCCGACCCTCCCCACACTAAGTCGGCATCGGTGCTGTGTTTTTTAGTTGGCGAAGGCTCCTGGGTTCCGGCTCCTACCCAGATAGGGGGTCTGTTGCCTACGGTTAGACCCCATGCAATAGGTAGGTAGGTCCGGTTTTGACCGCCCCAGAGGGCCCCGCAATAGGTAGGCAGGTGGTGGTGGTGGGCGCGGCGGGGGGGAGGGGTAAAAAAAACCGCTTCGCTCGCGCGGGAGACGCGCTAGCCGCGAACGGGGCCATGCCAGGCGAGTCGCCTGCGGCTGGGACGCCAGCCGAGACGGGTGCGGCGGCGGCGCCTGCGGTGGCGGCGCCCGGGTCGGCAGCGCCGGCGAACGCGCCCGGGACGGGTATTTTTCGCCTTTCTGCTTGGCCTGGGAATAGGTAGGTAGGTGGGGCACGGAGCCTGGCGATTGGCGCCCGCAATAGGTAGGTAGGTAGCGTTTTGGTGCGAGTCATGCACAGACCCCCTATCTGGGTAGGAGCCGGAACCCTGCTTGGGCAGCGACTACTCGGCGGTCTCGACACCTGTGGATGCTCTATTTCCTGATCTCTCCTCTGGCGTACTCGCCGCCCGAACCCGCCGACGTCGACGCCCAGTGGCGCTCATGGCAGCTCCAGCACCGCAAAAACTATGCGTCCGAGGCCGACATCGCAGCTCGGCGCCTCACGTGGCTCGAGAGCCGTGAGTTGGTGGAGGAGCAGAACGCTCGGCCCGACAGCTGGACGGCGGAGCTGAACGAATTTGCTGATTTGACCTGGCCGGAGTTTCAGGCGAAGCGACTCATGGTGCGCGGCGGCCCTCCCTCATTCACCACCGTTTCAACCTGACTAGACCCTCAGATCTCTGCCGCGGCAGGCCCCTCAGAACTGCTCCGCGACGCACGTCGCCTCGTGGTCCTTCGACGCTTCCGCGAAGCTCCCGGAGGCGCTCGACTGGCGGCAAAAGATCCTGGCGCCGTGGCCGGTCAAGAACCAGGCGCACTGCGGCTCGTGCTGGACCTTCTCCACGGTCGGGTCGATGGAGGCGCACGTCTACCTCAAGTACGGCGCGATGAAGAACCTCTCCGAGCAGCAGCTCGTCGACTGCGCCGGAGCCTTTCACAACCACGGCTGCAACGGCGGGCTGCCCTCGCAGGCGTTCGAGTACATCCACTTCGCGGGCACGCTTGACACGCCGAGCCGGAGAGTGTGAACAACATTATCCTCACGGCTGTTTGCTGTGAACAGGCGGGCTCGACACCGAGGCAGTGTACCCGTACGTGGGCAAGACAGGCAAGACTTGCGCGTACGACAAGCAGGGCGTCGCTAAGGTCGCCGCCAAAGAAAGTAAGAAAACAGACAGCCCCATTCAGGGATGGGAGGCGGACAGGGACCCCACCTGCACGAGCAGGGTTTTGGACGCCGCCACCACCCCCAGCCACCGTCTTCACAGATCGACGTGTGAGGAGACGCTTTCCCCGCGCCCAGGTGTCCGCCATCAACAACATCACCGCCTACGACGAGGCGGCCCTTCTAGCCGCCGTCGGCTCGCGCGGCCCCGTCTCGATCGCCTTCCAGGCACGCCGCCGCTGTGCGGCCCCTCCTGCTCGCCGCTTCCTCCCGCCGCCGCCGCCTCTGGCCTGCAGTGGCCGAGGGTCAGCGGGGAGCGTGCGCCCGCTGCAGGTGTCGGCCGACTTCCGCTTCTACAAGAAGGGGGTTTACGACGGCGTCTGCAAGGCGCCGCTGCGCGACGTCAGCCGCGCCGAGGTTGCCTTGAAGGGCGTCTGAAAGCCCGTGCATGCGAGCAGGCGTCGCCATCGGATGTCAACCATGCCGTGGTCGCCGTTGGCTACGGCGTCTCGCCGGCCGACGGCGGGCGAGAGGGAGGCGCGTCTCAGTTTCATCTCGGTGGTATCTCGGTGGCATCTCGGTGGCATCTCGGAAGGCGTAGGCGAGCCCCCCGCCGTCGTGCGCTACTCGTGCTGACGTGTCCCCAAGCTGCCCCGCAGGCAAGCCCTTCTTCATCGTGCGCAATTCATGGGGCCCGACGTGGGGCGAAGAGGGCTACTTTCGCATTGCGAGAGGTGAAAACAAGTGTGGGCTTGCCGATTGCGCTTCCTTCCCGTCCATCGCGTGAGGGGTCGCGACACAACAGGACGGCGATCGACGGCGAGCGCAGTGTGGCTGTGGGTGCTAGCCCCGCTGGCAGCCGCCGCCCCAACCCCTGACCCCTCGGCCTTGGCCAGGCCTTGTACCTTGACGCTTGGGCGGGCTGGCGGGGCGGGGACCGGGGACGCGTTGTGTACTTGACTTGGCCAGCCAGTTGATTTTGACATTCGTCTTTCGTGCGACCCCGACCGTGTGTCTCTGTGTGTATTCTATTGTACGCGAGATCGGCGCCGTCTCTCGCTCTCTCCTCTGTCCTTGCACACCTCGGGTCTCCCCGCATTTTTTTATTTTTATTTTTTGACACACGTGCAACACATTTGTTGCTCATTGGTGTGCATTATGGTGACATGAGTCATGAGACAACATGTTGCCTCGACGACAGTCGACACTATATACCGTGTATTCCGCTCCTATCCGCATTGGATGAAGATCCCGTCAAACGGCATATATGTGAATGTGTGTGACGGGACCCCGCACACGCATGATCTCCATGACGCAAACATGCGGAAATGCGCTACCGACCAGACTCGAATTCTCCCGCCTCTCCCGCACAGCCGCTGCCGCAGCCTTGCAGGGGGACCCACATGTCCACACGCGACCCACGACCTAGTCCGCTCTCGCAGGCCACATGCTCTCAGTTCAGGGAGAATTCGCATTCCACCGGCCGATATGCGCCCTGCCGCCTCCAGACCAAAGCAGAGAAGTACCGCGCGAGCAGCGCCGATGTGCCGGCGCGGCCCGCTTAAATCACGTGTTCGGCGTGTCGTCTCCCGGAGGCCCGCTCAAGACATCGTCTTCAGCACCTTTTCGAGGACCTGCCGATGAGGCGCGCGGGGGCCCAGGCCCCACGATAGAAGGGGAA